AAAACGATATTGTTTGCTATCGTTCCACCATATGTATTTCAGGCGGACACGAAATAAGAAAAAAACGAGCGTCATCGTTTTATCGGTTAAAATCCTGATAAATACAGTTAGAAACATGCTCGATCTTATCGTAGAAAAGATTTTCGAATGAGTTTAAAGTAGAGAGGAAAAACGCGGACTTGAAAAATTATCTTGTAAACATTCTTATCAATGAGAAAATTAATTTTTAACAAAATAAAACTAGATAGTAGGAGGCACGTCGAGTAGATATTCTCAATATTTTCTAAACTATTTTTCGAAATGGTCACACTTAGGAAATCAAACGCGCACCACTTAGCATCAATCTAAAATTTGCTAAAACTGTCTTCTCTATGACCAAAATTAGTATAAATTAGCATAAACATTCACACCCATACACATTGTCAGAAACGATATAACATCAGATATTGTACTAAAGATTTTCTAATAAAGAAGAAGTTTTCAAAAACAAAAATGTGGATAATTATTCCCTTTTTAGTGTTTTTCGGCAAAAATTTTTTTTTTTGTTTTTCCAAAAATGTATTGTTTTCTTAAAAACGGTTTTGTGAGTGATATGTAATCATTTTTGAGCAAAAGAAAGTCGTTTCTAAGAACGAAAGTTAAATATATATCTGCTGTGAAAAAATCTCATACTGTGCATTGATTATCGTAGTTTATCAGAATTCATATAGAACTTCTTATTTATTTGATGCAAATAATAAATACTTATGTCACGGATTTGTGTTCGCTTTATCGTCAATATATAGTAGCGCTATAATGGATATCACAAACGAGACGATTGTTTACATGTATGAAACTATCAGCGTTGTAAGACATATTATACTGAACGGATCTACTAGAATTTTTGCCTAATTTGAATATGATTGGATATTGATGTTTAATATTGTTTTTAGATGTGTTCATAATATATCAACAAAAAAACGTAAATCAAGAAAAATAAAAACTTATCATATAAGTAGAAATGGTGAAAGAACATTTTCATATTCTACTGATGATATAAATCGAAATAAATCAAAAAATACTCGTTCTCATCGTTTATTTCTTGGTTCAATACGAATTGCTTTTGGTTTTTTAATAGTTTTATTAATTATTTTATGTGTAATTAGTGGTCTTCTTTATGGTCTAGATTTACTTATACAAAATTCATGTCGATTAGTTCATTATGATCAACAATTTCTTATTTCATTGATTTCAGGTTAATGAAAAATAGATTTACAAAAAAAAGAAAAAAAAAAAAATTTATTTTATTTTTAGATAATTTAATTAAATCAATTGATAATATTGATATTAATGCAACACTTAATAATATAATAAATGATTGTAATAATAAAATACATTTTAGTAAAAAATTTTTGAAAGAATTTTCTAATGAATTAAATAATGAATTAATTCCAATAATAAAATATTTAAATGAAAATATTTATAAACAATTTTTAATATCAATTAAAACAATAAATATATCATCAGAAGTTAATTTATTGAATAATGTAGCTAGTTTTCTTCGTTTAAAATATATTCAAAATCGTTTAATTCTTATTCATAATGATTTTAATCAAATTCAAAGAATATTTACACAAATTATTCAATTTAACTCTCGATTACCAATTAAATTTCTTAATCAAACATTATATGAAGTGAATTAATTATTTATTTCAATTTATATTTTAAAGATTATTTTATTTTATTTTATTTTATTTATTTAGTTTGAATTATATTTTGAAAAAGTAATTGAATCAACAATTGATTCATGTCCATTACCAATCGATAATATATTAAAAATAGATAAATTAATTTGTCATCAAACAGCCAATACAATAAATGGTTTATGGCTAATCATATTTTTGTTTATGTTTGCTCTTGTATTTGGCATTTGTATTTTTGGTATATACATCTATAAACGATTGAATTAATATTATTCATACTCTTAAATATTATTTCAATTTATTTTTGTTTTTCAACAATCTAAATATCATTCATCGAATTTTCTCTCTTATTTTTATTTCTATTTCTATTACATAATGACTAAGAGACAAACATAAGACTTTACAATCTTTCAAGTCTCTTTCACCGTTTTATGAATAGTGTCTATGCACAGTTTATGAATTGATATTTTTTTGTTCACTTTGGAACTATACCGAAGATTGAATAAGCATAAATGGCAAAAGAGTTAAAATTGACACTGAAATCAAATCATATTGCGATAAACATTGTAGCTCTAGAACAAATATTTCATCTTGTCTGCTCGATCTAATAGAAATTTAAAAAACTATAATAAGATTTTTGTTGAAAAAAAAACTTATTTCATTAGAGTGATTTTAGAAAGTTCACATATAATACTGTCGACACCAGAATTAAGTAAGGGTGCGTGTAAGACGAACATCTCCACAACGGTAATATCTATAGTATTCGAGACTTTTCACCATTTGAAAGAAACTGAGTTGAGGACGTGTTTTTATATAATGTTGTACAAGGCGAAATCTCTGTCAAATTAATAAATTTTTGTAATTTTTCTCAAAAATGCCAAATAATGCGATGTAATTTGAATGAAATTTCTTATTCTGACCATACATGATAGATAGAGAGACTTTAGGTCTATAGTCCAATACATAATATTAATGGTTATCTTCTTATATCGTAATGCTGAGCATATGAATTCGATCATTTGCTTGGCAAAATAATAGGAAATTATGCTCTTTTTTAACCAAATTCTTTTATATTTCATAGAAAAAGGCTTGTTGTTTCAATGAAAGTTTGGTCAAAAATCTTGGGAATCGTCTATTATTTTGATAAGTACATGGCTGAATTAATTTGCTCAACATTAGAATTTGAGAAGATAATAATTTCCATGATGTCTTGAACTATAGACTTGAAATATCTCTATTTACCATGTATGGTCAGAATAAGAAATTTCATTCTCATCTTACATAATATTATACATAAAAACACGTAATCGACTGAGTGTCTCTTTCAATTGATGAAAGGTCCAAAATATGAGTTATTGGCGTTGTGAAAATATTCATCTTACAAATCCTTCTACATAATTTTGACGCAAACAATAGATATAATGTCATGTTGAACAAAACGGTTCTCCATTGAAATTTGTAACCAAAACATAAAACTTTGCAATTGTATAATTATTCTTTCAACGTTTCTTCCTAGAAAAATTTATCAAAACATTATTAAAATAACTTATTGATGTTGCTATTTTTAGCTTCGAATATGGTTTGTTGATTATGATATCATATTGAATTACTAATATTTAATTCGATGATGAAAGCAATGAACAAATCAACAGAAAATTTACTTTGAAAAATATTTTTCGTTACAGAAATCTTCGTTTTTATTGGTAAAAATCATTTTTATTAAAAAAAAATTTTTTTTTTAATGAAGATTCTCGTCAAACTGATTTCTTTTTCGTGTATTAGTTGATATTTTGTATTTCAACAACTAATTGAGACGGTAGTCGTACAATAATCAATCGTCCCAAACTGAAAAGAAATGTAATCTTTGTATTATTAAGTAAATTAAAATAGAATAACTTAAAACTTTTCAAATAAAAATAATAATTGTTTCCTTCATTTACAATGAGTAACTACGCACATTCATCGTTTCTAGAAAACATTATGAAAATTAAATTAAATAAAATCTTGTTTTTCTATTATATTTTATCGATTGTTTATACGAAAAAAACTGTTCTAACTTTTGAAAGAAACGTTCCTAATTCTTCGGATAAATCAATAAAAACTAATTAACTTATTCAAATAATTCTAAAAAATTTTTTTCATAGAAAATTTGTTTAAAAGCTGAATTTGTTTCTAAAAAAAATGAATTGATTTCATAGATAAAATATTTTGATAAAAGAATTCTATATTATTCGATTTTTCACAAGGAATTCAAGTTATATTATTCAGCAAATTCTTCTATACTTTTTGTTATTTTATTCTAATATTGAATATTTTTGTATTCAATCATTTTTTCTGTTCAATTTTTTAAAATATTTCCATCGACAACAAGAAAAATTTTTTTTTAATCATTTTGAGAAAATTTCTCTAGGAAAATAGTGAAACAAATAGATATTTAATTGATATCTTATCACAAATGAGAAACTATTTCTTGACGAATAATATTAGTACTTACTAAAGATAACTAAACAATTATGTTTAATCTTCTTTCCTCATTCATGTTTCTCATCGAAGCCTCTTCAAATTCGAAAAAACAAAGTTTTCATAAATCTCCAGAGGTTTTCTGGAAGATTTCTGAAGGAGTACAACAACATATTCATCGTTTTACTTTGTCTTTACTAATAATACATAAATCAATCAAGATTCAGAACGAAAGAATCTTCCTTTTTTTATTACTTTTTTTCATCCAAAATAAATTTCATTTAGGTTTATGCGGATGTAAGTCTGAGTTTTTAGGGTGTGGGTTTGCTGCTTGATGCGTGCTGTCAATGTTATGTGCGTGTGTATTTTTATATATTTGTTGGTATGGGTATGTCTATGGTTCTTTATGTGGTTGTGAATGGAGACATGAAACTTTACCTACAGCCACGCAGATATTTACACCGAGACTCACATTCACATTCACATTCATATACATACTCAAGATATATTAATATCTATAGCGGTTGTAAAATAGTTTATTATACAGGAAGAGGTGAGCTTTCAGTGAAAGTATCAAGTAAATGTCAACAACGAGCATTTCTTGTGTTTATTTTTGGATAAATATTTTCCATTTCAATAACATTGAATGATACATAGATTTATTTCATACTAAAATATAAAAGAAGATGAACAAAGATTAAACTTAATTTAATCATAATTCAAATCATTTCGAAGATTAATTATTCCTTTGAAAATTTTGTAGTAGCTAAGAATATACTCTAATTAATGGAAAACAATTTACATGTCATCAATCTATAAATGATAAACACATCAGGTCAAGAATAATAAGAGGAAAAAAGTCCGAAAGGAATCATCGATCATCATGTATGTGTTATGTTCAACAGATATATTATCATAAATAGATTCACTAGTGTAGTATTTGCTAGACGAGTACTTTCACTAGACTCCGCAAAATTGCATCATTCATTAAATTGAATCCTAGTGTAACTATATCAGAGTGTCCATCTATTATGGAAGGATGATAGGAGATTTGATTTATAATGCTGCTGTTTTTATCAATTATCATTATTATTCATATCTTTCTCGTTAGAGTACAACAGTAGAAAATATCGTCGGTTCTGATTTCTTCATGTCTATGATCATTGAATGTATTATGGACATTGCCAAATATGTCATTGTATGTAAACCATTCGTTGAGAACACTTATCTAACATTTAAGATTCAAATGATACCAAAATAGGCATGATCGCAAATTTGTGGTGCAGCTACATATGAATATTTGAGACACATTAGCAGTTTTTTCAATGAATTCTAACTATCTAGAGCCACGATTTAGAGAGTAGATAGAGTACCAATAGATTTACCTATAGTTTAAATTTGAGACTAAACGGCAGAAATATGAAGTAAAATAATTGAAAAAAAAAAAGATATCTTGTTTATTTTAGTCAGAGAAATAAATATAAAGCAAGTAACACAATTCGAAAACTTATTTCACTTTAAGTACAATTATTTTACAATCAATTCAAGTGACATTAATTAACATCTCTAATCCAGATGGAGACAATGCGAAAAATGATGAATACAAATATCATTAGTGGAAAATTAAAGAAAAAATATTTGTTTATGAAATAGGAATATTTAGGTAAGAATCGTGCTGTTTGGATCAATTGTTAGCTATCACTATTGTTTGTTCGATTAGTTGGCTCATTGATAATGTCGATTTCTTTATCGATTGCACCAACTAAAGCTTTCACAATATAATCACCCTTGGAAAATGAAAAATTTGCTCCTTGATAACGACGAATTTTCTCTCTTTCCGTTTTAAAATCATCTGTTACATCAACGTTCATCATCGTTCGGTCAAAACGGCTCAAATAATCAACACACTCTGGGTCATCAGTACAGAGTAGAAACGATACATACGTATATTTCCATTGTCGCTTATTGCGCATGATATCTTCAAATTCAACCGAATTCGGTACACCCTCTTCATCTGTTGGACATCCATCGGTGGCGATAAATAACAACAATTTCTTATCACTTTTACCTTGAGCTACTGACAGTTGAAAAATTCTTTTTAGAGCAGACACCAATGGTGTATACCCTCTTGGATAAACAGTGAATAGTTGATCGGCTTGAGTCTGATCTTTGATCGTATGATTATCTCTTCGATTGAGAAAATGAACATCGACACCATTCGTGTCGAATATACAACCGATTGCGATGATAATCTTTACAATTTCACGTCGTTCATCCCAGCGAGTCTTGCTAGTTCCATCAACTGTATCCATCATTGAGCCGGAATCATCGCACAGTATGACAATTTTGAACTTTTCAAGTTTGCAAATGTGTTTAATCCCTGTGCTTTGTATTTCATACCGAGAGGCTATTGTCCAAAGCTGTTGGTTAACTATTACATTAATATATACAATCAGATTTCATAGTTTTTCAACTTTTTATTGCTCATAGAAAGTAGACTAATAATAATAGTGTCAACCAGTATTAAAAAAGAAATTTCGAAGCAAATGAAAAATTAATCAATTCTGTTCAATAGTAATTACTACATTCTACAACAAAACTTCGCAAAAACAAAATTGTTAGATAGTAAAATTAAGCAACTGGACAATTATTTATAAGAAGAATAATGTATTCGAACATGATAAATTCTAGTTTTTCTTTCTATTGGTAAAATATAACGTTAGACATGAAAATTCCTGCAAGTCAGTGACAGAATAAAGAATATATTATAATTAACTTTACATATGGAAAATATAATGTTAGTCAAGATATATCTATCTAAATGTCAAATAATGCATTAACAGATAAAACAATTCAGATTGTAAGAATTCTATCTTGAATTCTTTAATATCTGTATCTACTTTTTAAAGCTTAAAAAATGACGTTTAAAACTTTCTAAATGTTTCATTTTATAGTTTTTCAGAGAGAAGTAGGGCAAGTTCTGTGGGAGACTTCTTATATTGTTTTAGGAATCTACGTCGTGTTTCTATTGACATAAGGAATATTATTTGACAACTACAACAAGAGTATGAGTGAATTTCATCCCTAATAAAATTGCTGATCTACCACATAGTAAGATGAGTAATTAATATTTTGTGAAACACGATCGAAAATAGGTCTTGATGTATATAAGGAGAAAGTTAGGTCCTCTTCACTTCTTACACACAAAAAACACGTGACAGAGAGACACGATATTTTGAATTTTTAGTTCACGGAATTAGTCTTATCATATATATATATATATAAATTATTACATGCTTTTAAATAAATAATCCTTCAAATAAATATTTATTTCAAAATATAAATTCCGTAAGCGGAAAATTCAGAATATCATGTCTGTTTTTTACTTCCTGTGATGCTTTTGAGAGTTGTTCGACATTTTGATTTTCGAGTTTGATATAAACTGTCATAGATATCGCAAGATTTCTTCATCATGTATAAAGTGACTACATCTCGTTTCACACTTTAATCTCGTAAGAATTGTGTTTAAAGCTTTTCTGTTTTATTTTCCAGCTTTCAGGGTGTTAACAATGTCAATTATGAGGTACTTTTTTTTTTTATAACTATCACAGCTTAAAAAATTAAAAAGTATCTCATATATGGAGTTGTCTTAGCTACAAAAAACTACATGTGAGATCAAAGTTCAGCTGGATAGACCAATCATAATATTTTTTCGATGATCTTTGGCTCGTGTTCTATATATCCATACTTTGAAAATAAAAACTTTACAATTTTTTCAGAATATAACAAAACTGCTTTAGATATGTATGATTCAACGATTTGTATTGCGTCAATTTGACTAATAAAATATTTTCAAAATCACTCAGTTTTAGCTCGAAAGTTTGGTTTCCTTCTTGAAATTGTTTCTGCGCTGTTTATGACAGATTTCTGATTATGTTTTATTTCCTACAGTGTAACCTTGCGGTACCAACCGTTAAATAAGCTCGATTAAAGATTATTCAAAAAGTCGACTAATCTAGATAAACTCAAATATGTTAACCCGTCTTTTTCGAAAAACAAATGACTTTTCTACTATGCAACGCAATCAAGCTGATGATTAGTGATGTCGATAAGATTTGAATAATGCTTATGTTCAAGTTCGAAGCCTCCTTGTCTACGCCACTATGTATAAGTTAAAAATTCTGTGTGCGATTAAGATACTGATAAGGTTAGCATTTAAAAAGTTCATACTTCTGGGATCTTCGTGATATTGGACGTTGCGACGTGGTGAATTGGATTGCAAGAGATCATTTGTCCGGCCTATAACACCAAAAGACATACCGTAAACATAATATTTTTCTGAATAAAAATCAATAAAGAAAATAATCTCTATAGGATTTGATAATATAGACTTTTATTCAGATGAACTAATATTTTTTTTAATTTCAAGTCTCAAAACATTATTCGTTGTCTTCTATTTGGTCATCGATCTTAGACACTGCGGCTTTTAGCTGATTTGAACTGAATTTAGAAAAATTCTCATTTCCAACAGTTAATGTAGAATGAACTTGATAATGTCCTTTGATGTTGTTCACTATAAATAAGTATAAGAATCAAAAATATTTAGACTTTTGCAGGCAAATTTATTCTACCAAAAAACAATCGAGAAAAATTGAAGTCAAAAGTGAATTGTATCAAGTTTATTCTTCTCTATGAATCATAATCGACTTATTATTGAATTAGTGTGAATTAATCCTATTTTGAAAGATATATGAATATGTCTTTGTGGAAGTTTTCTAGCAGATTCTTACAAGAAGTGCACCCGAATTGAGATTTATTATGCTATGCTATCATAATATTTTATACTTGCCCAATCGATCCGATCTCGACTGGATTCCAAGAGCATAATCAGAACCTGTTGTCTCATTGATTTCTTCTTTTCCGGAATCTGTTGAGCTAGTATTAGCCAAAGGATCTATTGAAGGTAGATATGAGTATGTTGCTCTCTTGTAAATTCAGAATGTCAATCCATATTGTTGTTTTCGATATCGTTATTTTTACTTTACTAAGTCAATGGTAGGCTTAATAAAAGAATAAACACTTTGATTGTTTGATCTAAAAAAAGAGTTAATGCTTCGAGAATGATATGAAACATTATAAGCACACAAATTCAGCATATTGCATTGAAGTAGAAAAGCTATGAGATTAATATGTGACACATTATTAAGCCATCCTGCTGTTACATGAGGATCACTCCTATATTGTTCGCAACTTTTTGACAGGATGAGAGAATTAGCAGTTGTAGATGTCTGTCACTATCTATGACATAGATCCCAACTAGGGGTAGTATACTTTTGTTTCTTTATTATGAATTCGTCAGTCTGTCTCTCGTGTCACTTATCGAGATAAAATTTTCAAGATACGATACTGAATAGATTAGTAATTAAGCGCTGCAAAATAAAAAGTCTGACACAACCTGAATGACTAAATCTATCTCCTGTTGATAGTGGCACCATCACCGATTGGTTGCATGAGCTTAGTGATGATGATACAATTAAGGTAAAAGGGTGTGGGTGTGTGTACGGATAGAAGATCCACATCCACACCCTTTGCAACTATTGAGTCAGTAACTCGGATAAATTTTTTTAGAAGCTACAAACCGGTTTTGAGTATATATATAAAGCTTTTATAAAAAAAAGAACGATAGATGCCTCTTAAAAATCATCTTTTTAATTATTGATGACTGTTGATAATGAAAACCGAACCTTTCAGTGTTTTGAATGTACTTTTTTTGTGAAACTGATGTATCCTCAGCTAAATTATCTCTAGATGTTATCTTGCAGAAATCGTGCATTTGCTGAACTTTCTTATCATCATGTCTCTCGAAAGTTTTGTTGTTGTCTTTTACCTGTGTTTTATTGTTTTTAGTTGTTTAATAGAAATGTTAGTTAAAAGAGTTCGAAGATTGATGGTAAAAGAAAAAGAAATCTCTTCCGAGTTTGAATATGTTTTTTTTCCAACTCTATATTTTTATAGGTAGTTATTTTCTTCATATTTTACATCAGGAGAAATGAATTCGTTGTATTTATGATGCACTTCACACACGAAAGAAATATAAGCGTAAAAATGCAAGTTTTTTTCCAACTTTCTTTAGAATACAGAACATTTTTTCTTTGAGTTTGACGAACATGTGCAAGTAAATACGAATGAAATGAAATTAATCAGAGTCAGCTAACGCTGGAAGAACTTTATGCCACGAATAATTTTTTTTCTTGATCTTTGTTCTGCTTGTTCATTTCTTTATTTGTTTTATTTTATTTCGCATGATATACACAAAATTAACTAAAAATTTAAGTACTCGTACAGTTCTTCGAATATTTTGTATGTTCGATTGTACCTTGTAAGGAGATGGATACTGATTATATCAGTTCCCATCGAGAAATTCATGATTCTACAACAATAATCAGGAATAGATCTTTTACAGATCCATAAAATGAAATATCTTCTATGTCAATCCATCTCTTATTAATGTCGACTTCAACTAAACAAAATATGTCTTGAGAATCATTTTTTGATAGCAGGATGTATGAATACATTTGAGGATGTTTTTCTCTTTTGTTTTTCATGTTTTTCAGAACACAAAGCAAGTCGATTTATTTTTCAGATCCTTTGACAAAAATATATAGGAGCGATGATAGGCAGTATGAACATATATTTTAGATATAGTTGCTATTAATAATAATCTTACGTTTTCTTGTCTTTCTATAGATTTATTTAAAATAAAAATATTTTATTTGTCATGATCCTATTCTAAGTTTATATTCTGAACTTTTGTTTGCTCATATGCGTCAAACAGCAATTATAACACAAAATGAATCCATAACTAATATATATAGTTATGGATTGAAAATTAAATTTAGTTATGTTTATCAATTTTTGAATGGATCCATCACGTTTTATAACTATTTGTGAAGTTAAAGACGTTGAACATATATTTACTAATCGACATATTTATGATGAATGTGATGTTTTATTTAATAAATTGCATTGATTATTTCATCATGCACTAATATTGTAATATAAGAGAAAAATATAAACATCATGCAAGTTAAATACTTCCGTTATTTTTGTCGTAATAAAATAATTTCAAATATTAATTTAATTATTAATTGTACAGATAGAATTCTTTTGAATATTTGAAAAAGATTTTGATGAAAATGATGTTCATAATTATCTTCTTTTATCAATGTTTGGTTTCATTGATTTTGATTATGATTTTGAAATATTTACAATAAATTATTTAACTTTAACTTTAAAAGACTTTTTCAATATATTT